TTTGCAGTGTCTCTCATCTGAACCATCTCCGCAATCGTCAACCCCGTTACACTTCATTCCTTTCGCAACACATCTACCATTTCTGTGATAATAGAAATATTTTATATGTATAAAATAGAGTATTACAGTTGAATTAAAATTTTACAATTTCTTTTTATCTTGTTTGTAAAAACATTATTACTTTTTCTGGGATATTTTAAAAACTAATATACTAAACTAATTTCTTTCAATAAGAATTGGAATATATTAAATTTTAAAATTAAAATATTCGATTTACATAACAAAAAAATAAAACAATCATTATTTTAATAATATATAAAGGAAGTAATATGTTAAGAATAGAAAAAAACTCAAACAAAAAATTAAATTGAAAAAATTAAAAAATTCTAAACGAGATTTTAATTCTGGAAAAGAAGTACCTAATTAATGTATACTCTTTTTTTCATTTTTAATTGCAGCGTCTATCTCTTATGTAGAAAAATCTTCAAACATTGACTTACTGGCATGTAAATTCATGTTTATTGCATCGCCCTTGACACCCGAGAGGTTCATCCGATCCATCGCTGCAGTCTGCTAGTCCATCACAAAAGCGAACTTTCAATATGCATTCCCCATTGCTGCAAGTAAATTCACTATCCAAAGGGCAAGCTAAATCGAAAATAAAAGCTATTATTTTTAAAACAATATTTTTTTGACGATCTATTTTCATTCAAATATTTGATAATTCAAAAGAAAAAAATTTTTAATTCTAATTCTCGTAGTATCACATTTTTTTAGGATTAATTTATTCTTTCAAAGAATTAATTCTACATTTATTAAATATCTGGCAAATGAATAATAAATTTGTACATTTAATTATTCTTTAGTGTTTACATAACAAAATAAACCACTTTTTATTTGCGAGTTATGTGTAATTATATATAATTTTTCTGAAATTCTAGATCTATATATAATTGTAATAAATATAAATGCATTCTTCGAACACAAAAATGAATTTATCTCTCTGTATTAAAATATTAATTAATATTAACTAAATAAAAATATTAATTAACTAATGTTACATGGAGAAATCATGAATGATTTCACCATTCGTAATAAAATAAGTTAATAAAATTCATGCATTATTAAGGATGCAGCATGCAGACTATCATATAATACATTCATGCATTTCAAATATAAATATGTACTCACACCAACCGAGAATACGACCTACGAAAAGAAGAAAGAAAAGAAATGTGAAAAAGAAAGATCTTCTCGTCAAGCAATATAAAAGGAAGACTATAGCTGCTTATAATTTTATACAAGATATCTTACAAATGTCTTTTATCTTTGTATCTTGCAAGAATATTTAATGTCGCGAAGATAAAATATGCTTGGAAAGCGTTTGAAGAGTAGTTAAGAAAAAGATGTAAAGGAAATATCTTTATTGTAAATAATACTTTAAAGAAAATTAATGACGCTGTTTACCATTATTTTAATACAACAAAGGTTTAACAAGTGCAAAAAAGTAAAGAAAATGTAAGATACTGTGTACCGTGTATACAAATATGTGATGACAGCACTTGATAGGATTTTTCTTTTATTTTGAACTACAATCGTTTTGCATCTCTATCAACAATCTAATGAAAATCGATACTCCTTCACCATATTACTACATACATAGCGTAACATTTTCATTCATCGCGACAACATTTCGACAGCTCAAACTATCGTTACAACGATAAGATGTTGGAATGCTCACCTAACGTGCAATTAATCTCGTCGGTTGCGTCCCAGCAATCTATCTTTCCGTCGCATCTCCTCTCCAATGGAAGGCAGGAAGTCTCGTTACCGCACTGAAAATGCGTCTCCAGATTGCAGACTGAAAAAGAACGTGCAGTACTATCTGATAACATCACATTCCACTTGCTTCGCGTACTTTGGTATTTGCATACCCGCATGAAATATTCTGCAAACTCTTTTCATCATAAAATCAAGGAAACCAAGGATTATTTGGTCTTTTTGTGATAAATTAGAAATATAATTTATCAATATACAAAAATATGATTCGCTTTTATTAAAATGAACGTGTAGAACAATTAACAGTATGCAAATTAATTTTTTCTTCAATAATTGTTATTATCAAGTTGTTAAATGATTTTCTTCTAGATAGTTGTTGCGTATACAGTATTGTTTTTAAAAATAATTGTACATCTCTTTGAGTTCACAATAAATCAAATCACGATAAAACCTCTCTCTTTTATCTTTGAAAAAAATGATTTTGTATATCTACATATATTTTATTACTTATCTATTTCAACTTGGCCATGGCATTCATACTTTTATCACTTTTTATTCACTCAACCTAAATTGAATGATTTGAATTCAGCATTGTGTTTGGTTTTAACGTCAAATGTGTGATCGAAGCTGGCATACCGAAGAAAAAACTGGCAAACCGAAGCCTCGCAAATAATAGTAAAGAAGAAAAGCCGATAACAGAAAGTTATAGGTCACTTCGAAGTAGGGCAATGCCTATGTTTTAATAAAAAACAAGTCGCACGTGGGAATGGTTGTAATTGATTTATAATAATTCAAGATCAAGAGCAAACAATATTCATATTTATCTAGTTTGATGATATTGCAATAATTAATTGTATAATATTTTTATATGTAATTAAACTTACAATTTTCTATTCTATTCTTTTCTGCAATTATCAATTATTATCAGTTATCAAAAATGTTTGAAAATCAAAATGTTTTTGAGCATAAGATTTCTTATTATAAAATTTATTATCTCTATTAAATAAAAAAAATTCAGAAATTCAAGAATTTTGAATGTTGAAACAATTAAATTGATTAAATTATCGTAAAAATTATTTATATAATACAGCATTGTAAAATATTAAAGTTATTCGATACGTATTGTAAAATATTAAAGTCATTCGATTTCGTATACTAAAGAGAAATAAATTATATTGTATATTATATAAAAAATATAAAAATAAATTGTTCCAATTGTAATTTTTAACTTTATTTACACTTACCACAACCGTACTCATCCGAATGATCGTAGCAGTTCATGTGCCCATCGCAATATTTCTGCAAAGGGATGCACAACTTATTGGAACAAGTCCATTCGTTGTCCAGACAATAATGCTCCATCTCCACACATCTTTAGCAAAATAAAGAATTCATTAAAATAAATAATAGATTGATTATCAAACAATTGAATTAAATAAATAAGATAAATATAAATTAAATCTTTATGCCTTTAAGTAGATATTAATTGCACAAAACAAATAAAGTTTATCAAAATTTTTACAAAACTCTACTAATAAAAAATAAAAAGAAAAACAAACCTGAAAGCATCCACATCGAGGCGATGACATTTCTGCTTACTGATGACGCAAAAACCGGCGCATCCGGTGGGATCGTCGCGATCGAGGGGGTTTCTGCATATCGGCACTTCTTCGTCGACGAGAGCGACACACACCTCGCCTTCGAGGCAATCGTCGCAATATCTCGTAGCATTAATAACGTTCTGACTCGCAGCTTCCGTTTCCGCACCTGTCGAATTGCTCTCCGGCGGCGAAGTACTCCCCGGAAATGACGGGTCGCTGTTTAAAAGGGCGTCTGTGGTGAACATATCCTCGACGATCTTCACCATCATCGGCGTTAACGTCGGCGTGTCAGTCATAGCGATCGTTAGATTTGGCTCATCATTTGGAATCGCGAACGTGATCGGATCACCGGAAGTAGCGTTCTGCCCCGTCAACCGGCTTGTCGACGATTTCAGGTACTGTTGAATGATTTGGAGTTTCTCGGGCTCTGAAAAAAAAAAAAGAAGGCGTGAGGCGTGTCAGTTAATACAGCTGGAAAAGTATTACCGTTTCCCAGCGATGACGGAAATGCGGACTAAATATAACGAAAACAGGTTTGTAAATCAAGACGTTTCAAATATTATGCGTAAAAGAATAAAAAATTGCACTGAAATACATGAAAGAGTTTTAAAAAGTTAAAGTGTCTATTCTATCTTTCTTTTCAATTCCTTAATTTAATCATATTTTTATCTTATTTATTAAATTGGCTTTTATCTAAAAAAAAAATGCTTAATTGAATGAATATATTCAGATATTTAAAATATCCTATACACACAAAAACAATTAGAGAAAAACGAAATCAATTTTCACGTTCTCCAACTCTTCATTCTTCTTTTAATTGTTTAATTCTTGTTTTTTTTTTTTTTGTTTACCTTAAGAATCAATCTGAAGCATCGACTTGTAACGTAAAAAATATTAAAAAAAAAAAAATAAGAAAAAAGGATTCTTTTATATAAAATAGAGTTTTCTTGCTTATTTCGCAAATCTGGAACATGGAGAATCACAGAATGGAAAATGGAAAGGAAAAACGAAGACTCTTTTTCTTAGGGGGGGGGGGGGATTGAAAGAATGATTGAAAGAACTTCCTTTCGAATTCTCGGGATTCCAGGCATGCCAAACGTACGCGAAACGTACGGTCATTGGCTTTTGCCACTTTTCATCGCGCCTCGTACTACTTGTAGCCGCGTAGTTCAACTCGATCGACCGCGCGCGCGGGCAGATACAGACACGGCTGAAGGAAATGTTCTGTTGACCCCGCGGTTAAATTCATCTCGTTGAAGCAATTGCTACGCTTCGTCGAATTAAACCTCGGCCGTCAGCTGGCGGGATGCAGATACTTTTAATTGCCCGAACGATAAGACGACGGCGCCGGGGCGGTGGCGAGTGTATCGTTTATTCCCGGCTAATATATGATGTCCTGGCACGCAACCCCTCACATAGCAAAGTCGGAACGATGAAAATTTGCGAAATGTATCGTAAAAGCTCTATATCGTAAACTGTCAATGACATATATTATTGGCATTATTTAAAGAACTTCACTTAGTAATAATAATGCAAAGCAATCCAGATAGCATATAGAGAATCTAAAAAAAAAAATAATTCGTTTTCTCCGAACTCCCCCAAATTATGAAATGTATTCTTCTCCCATCTCGTTTCTGATCTAAAAACGTTCATAAGAGTTCTACAAAATTTTACTTTTATGTTATTCAATTCTGATATCAATTCTCTTTTTCAGATACAAAAGGAAATCTCTTTTCTCTCGTCTACAAGAATTCGTAATAAAATGAAATAGCTTAATATACATAACTAATATATCTCTTAGAAATATTAGGTCTCTAAATTAATTATTATACAGAATTAAACAAAATTATACTGTCAAATACTTCATTTTATCTCCGATTTTCATATGGAACTTATCTTCTAAGCATCACCGGAAAATGAGGTCAGAATGAGGTTTTTCTATTACTTCATCATTATCTCACTAGAACAAGAATCTCAAAATGTAATACCTTTTATTCGATCCTATAGTTTTTAGTTATAAGAAATAAAATTGAACCGTGTCCATCTGTCGATGGTGCTACATATACTCACAGGTGAGTGATTCTTTTCGAACTCATTACGAATAAAAAAAGAACTTCTTTCAGAGCAACTTCAATTTAACTCCATAGAAGTTAAAATGTATATTTCTACAGAATTCTTTTTCTACAGAAATACCAGATTACCAGAAAGAAATCTTTTTTGAGTTCATAACTCAATGATTATCTATGCTATTTGGGAAGAATAAAGAATTATTCTTTGTAATATGAACGAAAAAGATAATTTAAAATTAGAGAATTGCAAAAATTAAGGGAATCCTAATGAAATTTTTTACACAAAATTGAATTTTATCTTTATGAAAGAATATAAACAGCAAAGAAATGGCGCAAACTTTATCTGAAGCATCTAAAGCATCAGTATATGTTTCAGCAAAACGGAAGCGAATCAATGTACAGTCAATGTGAGTGCAGATGAATTAAAGCCTCTATGATAAATCAATAAACGTTTCGATCAAGCGATTAACTTCAGACTGAATAATATTTCATTCTGACAAACATATATCAAGGGAACTATTTTATCAAACCTTTATCGAGCTACTGCTGTTACTTCACAAGCAATAAAACACGCGCGCACAATTCCAATATATCTTTTATTTCTCTTGGAAGAATTTGAAATGAATTAACAAATAATGTTAACTTTATATTTCTTTAATAGTCTTCAATTTTAAGCTAAACAATACATCATTTTCAGCATCCAAAAATCTATAATACAAACAAAAAGATACAAATCTATAGACAAATACTTTGTCTAGTTCAAATTAATTTTTTATTATAAACTAATGTAACTTTTATCTCATAAATATCCAACACAGAGAATCCAAAAAAATTCATTTTGAATCCTTGAATTATAAAATGTATTCTTCTTTCCCTTCTAATATAAAAACATTATTAAGATTCCATAAGATTTTGCTCGTACCAATTCTGAATTCTTTTCAGATACAAAAAAAGAATCTTTTTATATTCTATAAAAATTCACAATAAAGTCAAAATAGTTTTTAGATAGTATATACTCAACAAACATCTCTTAGAAAAATTAGATTCCTACAGTTTTTTTACACAAAACTAAATACATAATAATACTATTCTATCTATACTTCTTTACTATTATTTTTACTATCAACACTCTATCAGTTATACTATCAAAATATTTTATTTTTATCTCGGAGACCAATTTTCCGATTCAAAATATCATTTCATCATTTATGTTAGAACATAATTCAAATATACTCCTAATGTTATATCTTTTATTTTATCCTATATTTTTAGTTATGAAAAATAACAATTCTTTTACTCATTACAAATTCATTATGAACAGAAAAAGATTTCTTTCAGAATAACTCCGATTTAGAAATCAAAATCAATATTTTTGTGGAATCCCTTTTAAATTACCAAAAAAGAAATTTTTTTTATAACGATCATCTGTGCTATTTGAGTGAATATTATAATAAAGAAAATATATAATATACGTTCCAGAAAATTATATAGGAATAATAAATCTTTATTACTTTTCACACATTCAATGGTGGAGATTCATAAGTTCACAAAG